GATACACAAAAAGTAATCTGTTCCCTCAATCCACCAAGATTTTGAAAATTCCCCAACTTATCTCTCCCTGCTAGAAATTGAAAACAAATTATTCAATACAATAAAAAGACTACATAAGCAATGAGGAACTCAGTGGATGCAGGAACAAAATCTAAAGAGTTAATGATTTAAACATACAGATATTTTTTCCTGTCTATGTCCAGAACCTCTTTAACCATCAAATAATAAATCAAAATTGATAGAAAACTAAGAAAGTAACTGAATAACTTTATTAGACTGTTTATATTTAGTAACCTATACTGCTATCTAAGGACATAAGTTTTTGGAGGGAATGACTAACCCCCCCCCCCCCCCCCATTATGAAAATCCATACTTAGCAGGGAATAAATGAAAAATACTTATTTAGCAGGACAGGGCAGGGCAGATAAAAACATGTAGAAAGTCAAATGTCAAAATAAAACTTTATAAAGGTAACATTTTATAAGGTTTTTTATTTCTTTTATTTTCAAAAGAACTAAACAATTAAATAGGTCATAAATAATTTTGGAGCGTGATTTAATAAATCAATTGGCATGGTAAAAAGTTTTACAACCTCCCAGTAATATCATGAGTGAACTCCCTGCTGCTACACTGAAAAAAGTTAGACTAGCTTGGAATTTCAGACCTAAGAGAAAGTTTGAACATAAGTTAAAATGCTAAAAATGCTTTCCAAACTCTTGATTCTCACCTTCCATTTTCCAAAAGACTTCCAGCATCTCTCATCTGATGATTTTGGGATTTTTTGGAAGCTTTATTCATGGTGTAAGGGAATTATCATCTGCAAGTCCTAAAATGAGAAAATGAGGACTATTATAGAGAATGCACATTTTCTTATGATCAACTAATGACAAAATATCTTACATGAACTATATCTGATATCTTTTATAATATATATATATATATATATATATATATACATATATATATATTACTTTACAACACATATCTTAAGTAAATAAGAAGGAAATCTGAGGAATAAGTCAGACACATTCTGAAAATATATGAATAAATAATGAAACAAGACATTCCCACACAAGCAACAAAGAGATATTTAATAAAACACGAAATATCTAAGATTTAATAACAGACACACAACATATAGAATATACAATAAAATAATCCTAAAGTATATGAAAATACTGAGAATTCAATAATTGTAAAACGGAAACGAAAAACACTCAACATCTTCCACTACTTAACATATTTGACTTTTAACTTTGCCTTTACGCCTTTGATCTGTACAACGAATTCTTCTTTCCTTTCACGAAATATGACTTGATAACAAGTATCAAGTAAATTTATAATAAAATGGTAAAGGATTTGAATAGTTTCAATCGAGTGATCTGGACATCACAAAATTTCTCATAAATCATGAATAAAATGTATAAATAAGACTGAAAAGCGAATTGCTACTAATTTCTAAGTTTACAATATATAAATAAATCATATCAAATACTTACATTTACCCAGTATATCGTGTTAAACAAAGGAAAGTACAATTAATTCGACTTTTATTTTAGTTGCGTCACTTCGTGAGTCCGCCTGCGGGGATTCCGAACTTACAAAGTTTGTCGATGTTTTTGTTTTAATTAATGTATCTTCTGAACATCAATCAGTGTTATACAATTATTAAGAATATGTGTGGTAAAATTCGAGTTTCAACTAGCCTTAGACTTCAGAAAATATTGTAATATTTTATTACAAATATTGTAAATAAAATATTTTGGAGTGGAATATTCCAAAGTTGTTTACATTTACCATGATGCTGTTCTTTGACTCGGCTTCGTACTGTATATTTGTGAAGAATTAGCAAGACTTACATACAGACAAAAAACACTAAAATAGCTTCAATACGTTTGTTTGAACTCTGCGGAGAAGTAAGCCATCTTTCACCTAACAATTATCTTTAAGGGCATATCTAAACCTCCAAACATGAGGTATAAAGAATGTGACATCTGATACATGGAAGATATACTCATGCAATATCCTAAATCTACTATGTAAAATTTCCGTAAACATATACTATTGCCCTGCCAACACAGTGGAAGAGTATCATGTACATTTATAGTAATCACAGAATGCTGTACTATATCGAATATATGTAAAACTTTGTATTAACAACTGTCTACGTCTGAGCAGGTAGCCACAGGATGAGAAGTAGCCCTGCGTAACTTATCATGATGTATAATTTTGCGGTTATTTCTGGGATTACTTTTTTGCCTGATTGGCGCACAATACAAAATATTGGAGTAATTGCAGGCATATACAAATATAAGAGGTGCCGATCGTTTATTTCTTCTTTTTTTATTCCTAGAGTCTCTATGTTCAAATATGCTTACCACTCCCAACCTATACCAGAGTGACTTACGGCATAAGAGACGCCTCTCTGCTGAAATCCACTCAGAATTAGGCGGAGTTCCTTATTTTATCTTTATTATTCAATCTAATTAATTTTTCTATC